AGAGTTGACTGCGAATTGATCGCCAATGTTTGGGGGGAGGGGGGAGCAGAGAGGGAATCTTAAGAATACTACAGAACCTTATGGGGGGGATCAGGTAAATTTTATTGTGACACAACTAAAATCTTCCAACTTCCCAGGAGATATATAATGGCCAGTACCTAACCAATCAATCTGATCAACTGTTATTTGTCAGTCAGCATATCAGATGATTATGTTCACAGACAATCAGACAATCAAATATTAGTAAGTATGTCCCTTAAAAGCCAATCTGTCAATCTTCAAGTTGATAGGCCATACAATTATTTGGCGAATAAGCATGGTTTCTGACTAAAATTTCAATACGTTTCCCTAAACAAAAAAAAAACACACCAATCTACCTACCAGAAGGCACTTGAAGAGTGGATTCGTTTACCAATGAGTATCAAACATGAACAAGATCTTTGGGTTCATGCTGACTCTTTCAGCCGCTGAAAACGTGGAGTAAATTCACCAAGTTAACCCCTCCGGGAATACAATATCTATTCGCCAAACACTTCCAAAAAGTAGAGAAAAATACAAACTAACCATTTAAGGCACATTTTAAAACGGTCCGCCATGTTCCACGTGAAGAATTGATTACTGCAAGGAATGGTGGGAGAAAAAAACTCTCCTCTCCATGGGTAGGGTCAGTAGCACTGAGAAGAACTCAGCGATAGAAGGTACAGATCATGAAAGTTTTATTTTCATGCGATCATTGCAAGAGCAAGAGCCTATTAATGGGCTTCTGAGAAGACCTTGGATTTTTATCATGGTTAAGAAGGGGGGGGGGCGGGAGGGGGTGCGGGTGGGGAGTCTTCCTCTTTAGTTTCGTACCTTGGCCTTCCCCAGTGTACACGGATACGAAAAGGCTACGAGGTCAGACCTCTGACCTCTGCAATTGGGGGATGGTAGTTTACTATTATCAACTTAATTTTCCTTGTTCTTATCATTATCATCATCTTCATTGTCAACATGATTATCATCATTATTACAACTTTCAACATCATTATCATTCTTACTGTTATTGTCATCATTATTTTTATTATTCTTATAAAAATAATCTATAATTGTCATTGTCATTGTTTGTAGTTATCACTGTCTTTGTAATCGTTATCCTAAGGTTGTTATTGTGTACTGCTCAGTATAATGATTGCGATTTCATTTTTTATCATTGGCATTATTTCTCCCTCTTGCCTACCCTTTCCTCTCCAATAACCATTATTGCAGTAACTATGATCACAAGGTTTGATTATAACCTGGTAATTTACTATTATCACCTGAGTTGATAATCTAAATTGGCCACTGTAAAGAGTTTAAAAGCTGACGTTTCAAGCGTTAGCCCTTCATCATTCCTCTGATGAAGGGCTAATGCTCGAAATGTCAGTTTTAAACTCTTTGCAAAGGCCAATTTACGCTATCAACCCAGTTAATAGTACCAAATTACCCTGTTATACTCTCCCACCAACACAAAACCACAGTTTCTTTGGAAAGTGCGACCTATACACAAGTTTTTACAGTAAATATGAATTCCCCAAAAGATAAAGAGAACAGAAATTTGCCAGTAGAAAAGAAGCAATAAGGAATGGAAGAAATGAAACTAAATAAGAGTTGAAAAAATGTGCACACCAAAACCAGAAAAAGGTGATATTCCTTTCAGACAGTTTATTGTTCTTTAACATTCATCAACAGCATTAATCTTGTACAAGGCTTTTGAATTTCATCCATTGCATGAAATCAATTAATATAAAATTCTCTATTTAAATTCTAATTCCTAATTAGTAAGTTCTATGCTATGAAAATTTTATCTGAAGTTATGCACCCTGAAAGTGACTCAACTGTCAACCATTTCTTAAAAATACCTTTTCTATTTTCTATCATTTAAAAAAAATCAAACGATAGACAAGTCTGATTGTTATTGAATTAATGCATACAAAAAATATTTAGAGTAATACAAAAACTGTTATTGTTGTCCATTAAAATTATCCTGCTCTATTGTAAGAATTTTTGAATCAGTTCCAGTTCTCGTTCTCGTGCTTGTGTCACTGTAGGAGGGTCCAGTGGATTGGATGCTCTGTATGACATAATTAAATCAATAATCGCTAAAACTGAAATAGCAACAATGATAAGAAAACCGCTCTAAAAAAGGTTTTGTTCTTTTTTTTAATCTTTACCAGCAATCTTCCAGGTAACAAAAAGATTAAAGTGAAAAATAAAAAAAATCAAGGGAATGCAGGAAATCCCCAAATAGGGCTTTGGCAGCTTGTATGCTCTGCACCTCGTATGCTCTAAGATCTCAGAGAAAATTCTCCCCACTTATCACCACACATTTCATGATTGGTTAAAGCAGAGAAGTTGGTTTTCTGTCTGGAGCTCACAATTTTCTTTACTGTCAGCAACTGCCTCTTTAACTTTCTAAAACAATAAGATGAGAACTTACATATTGATCAATCTAGTCAGTGAAAAGGTTAAAACATACCTCAGATCAAGATGGTGAGCTCCACCTCTGACCAGAAGTGCCACCAGTGTTGGTGAGACATCTTCTAACACCTAAAATATAATCAATACATTTTAAATCCAACAGCAGTTGGAAGCAACCACAGCCCTTCAAATAGTGTAAACTTACCCCTCCAGTTCTCCACGGATCCAGGTCACCATTGGAGAAAATAATATTAGAAGATGAAGATATATCTG